TTTTCCAGAATTGCGAAGTACAAATCATTTAAAGACTTCCACAAGCGAATCATGGTTGCGACAGATGTCTTTGGACGTGGTATTGACATTGAACGAGTGAATATTGTAATCAATTATGACATTCCTGATGGACCGGATACGTATTTACATAGAGTAAGTGATTCTTATTTGACGTTGTTTTCTTGTTGTCAACGTCATGCTCATAACTGTGTGGCATTCACGCTCGTAGGTCGGTCGCGCTGGCAGATTCGGTACAAAAGGCATTGCTGTAACATTTGTTGCCAACAATGAAGATGCAGAGATTCTTCAGAAAGTGCAGGAACGGTTTGAAGTCAACATCACAGAATGTCCCCCCGAGTCAGAACTCAATGACTTTAGTAAGTCTCTGAAAGATATTCAAGATATCTAAAGCTGTTTAACCGAAATAAATACGTTATAGTAGAAGTCAAGATAAACTCATATCACACTTGTCACTCATTCGCCAACAAATTACAACACAACACACTAACACATTCAACGCCCATTCTCATCCACGTTCTAAGCCTTTTTCATTACTTTATCAATTGTCACTCATCTCTATCATTAAGTTTTCGTGGCCTACCAGAGCAAGGCTGCACTGTGGTGCATTCATTCTCTCTATATCATTCAATGACACCTGAACAGCCCCTTTGGAACATTTGAGAATAACAGCTATCTCAGAAAAGGAATGCTGCTTCCCTCATCTCTCCAAAACGGTTGCTGTAATAAACGAAGACTCTGAATATTCTATTCGTGAACAACTTCTTATTTGTTACCGCTTGTTTTCATTCAGTTGGTCTCAACAAACTAAATGAGAATCTGTTATACGACGCCTTGCATGAGCGATTGCCGTCGTTAATAGGCGAAATATACTTTAACATGCGCCTAAGCAAACACCCAAAGACTACAAATAAAGCGCCTTTACGGCCATAAGACATTTTGAAGCAGTTTATATTCACATTCTAAAACGAAGGAAAACTGGCGTTAATCAAGGGTAGCTGAATGAAGATCTTAAAGTTTATATGAAAAAAGTAGACGTTTTTAGGGTTAACGTAGAGTGGAGCAACAAAGACTTCTTTGATATGTAATGAAAGCTCAAAAGGTGGAGATTCAAACGTCGCAATGGAGCTATTTCACTGCAAATTCCTTTGCATTTCATGTTACAGCAAAAATTTATTTATGAAAATGATTCCCCTGACTATTATATTAATATTAAGAAGTCGGAGAAACTAGAAGTTGCTTGACTATTAGGTCACTTAGTTGCTTGACCCGGAACAGGCCATTGTGGAAGCTTCAGGTATTTATATCATATTCCTATTTCTGTGAAACAAATTATGGGACAATTTGAGCCAATAAAAAGTATACTCAGCTATAATAATGCACACTTTATATTTACTATCAAACTCGATAACTTTTGACTACGCTGATAAATCTGTGCTGCCACAACGCTTGCCCCATAAGAAATAGAGAAACTTTTTTGATTTTAATATAAAAAAGTGAAGTAATATTCCTCAAAACGCGATTTTTAATACAAAAACCAATCATTAAAGGTTGAGCCCTTAGGTTTTATATCCTTATAATATATATGAAATTCTTGTTTCGAAAATCAATCGCTCCTATGACAAGTCACATGTTGACGTGACATTTCCCCATACTCCGCATACAAAAATGCGTACAAGAAGTTGCTTTATCACGCTGCATAATTCTTCTTAGTTCGAGGAAGATCTTTATTTAAAGGTAGAGTATCTTAACCCCTGTAATAAAGTGTCGTTATCGAACTCGCAAAGACTACTTCGAAAACGTTTCTGGTAAGTAGAGCCTGACAATTTCTAACAACAGTAATAGTAATACCGGGCATCGCGATTACTAACACCAACTGAACATTACTGTACAATTATACCAGAATACACCGAATTATGTATTGGTATGTATAATCAGGGCAGATCAAATGCATACGAAGGCAAGCTACGCTGGAGTTCTTAGCATACTAATACTATAGATTCGCGATCCATATTTCAGCGGCTAATTCATAATTATAAGTTATTATTATAAGGGAAGAGTAATCGCAAGCATATGAGGTAGGAGATAGGTTATCGTTATGTGTGTGGATACGGTGTTGGGCCTTTGGATTATAGCCGGACAGGGGAAAGATGTGTAAATGTGTGTGGGGGCTTGTAATAATAATTGGTACTAGTACGTCTTGTAGAGAAAAGGATTATGTGTGTGTCATTTCATAGTAATAGGCTATTTATGTAATCGTGAACCTTGTCTCATCATTAATATTATCATAAAATGTGTCGATTCTTTAGCGTTAGAAAGCGTGAGTGGAAGGGGGGTCGTTCAGGTTGAACGCCAATATATGATTGATGACTTGTTGTTACTAATCTGTTATATATTACTGACAGCCAAGGCAGTTGGTGAGTGCATAAACTCTTGGTAGTAGCAAGTTGTATTTCAAAACATATAAGGGAAACTTTAGTAGCCCGCTAACAGAATGGTATCAGATTTCGCATTCCCTCTCGCTTTACCCATATATACACTCACCTGACATGATGAATGAAATTTTTGAACGACCAATCAGATGATCGTGCACATACTTGACTTCTCACCATCATTAGTCGCTAACGTACATATTAACTTGTAACGAAACATAGCTCATTTTACTCAGCTTCTCATACACTTTTTAGATATATGGTTAATATTGGGTAGGATTTCCTTTATTTTTTATTACAGCTTCAACTCTGCGGGGCATGCTTTCGATTAATTTTTCTAATTTACTTGGTCGAAGTTTTAACCATTCTTCCTTGACAATGACTTCTAATTCTCTCTTATTTTTTGGTCGAGGCTTATGTGCTCGAACGCCAACCTTGAGTTCAGCCCATAAATGTTCGATTGGGTTAAGATCAGGACTCTGGGCAGGACAAGCAAGAATATTAGTTAAATTTTCTTCCTTCCAGTCTTTTACCACTTTCGCTGTGTGTGCGGCAGCATTATCATCTTGGAATGTGTAATCTTCATTACCAAGCTCGTTTAAAAAGGGAAGAAGATGTTCTTCTAGCAAGTTTTCATACCGCTCACCAGTAATTCTACCTTCAACAACAACTAACGGTCCTAACCTATCCTTACAAAAACAACCCCAAACCATAATCCCGTCCGATTTCTTTACCGTTGGCTGTAAACATTCAACCTTATATTTTTCATCAGGTTGACGCCATACCCATTGGTGTGAGTCATTGCTGAATATTTCTATTCTAGATTCGTCGCTGAATATGACTCTATTCCACTCTTCGCTCCAATTTCTCGTCATTCGACACCATGCTAACATCTTTTTACGATTTGCCTCAGAAACCAATGGTTTTTTCTTAGCAGTTCTCCCAGAATACCCTTCAGCGTGTAGAGCACGTTGCACTGTCCTTGAACTAACAGTTACTGTCAATGCATGGTTTAATTCCTCCGTTTTTTCTTCGAGCGTCGTCATTCGATTTTTCTTTGTGATTTTAGTTAGTTGTCTAATATCACGTTCAGTAAGAATAGGTTTCTTACCTGTCGTGGAGCAGAAATGGTAGTGCCATCTTTTTCATATTTTCTTATAACATCACAGACTGTCGGATAAGACAATTCTAGGATCTCTGCAATCTCAATTCTAGTGCTTTTACCCATTCTCCAGGCGCCAATGATTAAACCTCTCTCAAAAGGCGTGAGCTCTTGACGATCAGACATTTCTCAAAATTGGGTGAACGTTTTGCAATGAATTCTTTTTTATTCGAAAGCTTAAAAGCTGAGGATTCTAATAAAAAAATTTTTATAAAAATCGGCTCAATAGCTGGCATCACATCGTAACAAATGATCAGCGGATTTCATTCATTTTTGTCAGGTGAGTGTATATTATTTACAGTATTTTGGTTTATAAGAATTATTTATTTATAACCCTAATAAGGTTAACCAATGACTGTCACGTTGCACGAAACATGTCGAACATGCCATTCAACACTAGATTACGTTTCATAATGACGCTCACATTTGACCATTTTTCCTTATTACGTTAACAATGTTTCTAAATTCAGAAAAGCAAAAGTCACTCGCATTAGAAAAAATCCTGTAAATCGTTCATGTCAATTCGTCAAGTTCATCTTGAAGCATAATTTCATTGAAATCATCGGGTTATATTGGTCTTTGTTGTACGCATATTGATAGTGACACATTTGTAAACACGTTTTTGTAATGAACATTTTTGTTTTCTATTTATTGCATTATTTACGAATTGAAAACATTTATTGATGAATCGATACCATAATATTAATAAAATAACCTTTTTTCAATCTGATATGTATCCCCAGGAGACATTAATGAGACAATTAACAAGGTTAGAAAGGAAATACGGCTGGGAAAATCCATTCCCAACCGAACGAAAAGTTAAAGAATGTGGATTTTTTTATACAAAGCTAAAGGAAACACAAATATCAGCACAACAAAAAAAGCTATATGTAAGTTATAAAAATACATATGTGTGATACAGCAGTTTTTAACATGGCTTAGGGATAATCGCAGGCAATAGAGTTACCGGCAGTCTTGCAGACTAGGCCACTTGCACATGTTCGGGTGATGAGCTTGCCATTAGCGCAAGTGTTAAAGTCACCAGTTTTGCCTGGACTTACGCATGTCATTTGACCTTCAGCACTGCATGCGCTTCCGCTTCCAGTCTTTTTTCCGCTCTTGCCCTTACGTCCTTTCCTGTTTGCTCTATTTCCGCTTCCGCTTCCACTTCCGCTTCCGCTTCCACTTTCAAATAGCCTTCTTTGACTAACGCCAACACTCTCCCAGGAGTGCCGACGACGATATGCGGAATTTTATCCTTTTGTTTAAACTTATCGATATCGCTCTTCATGGATGTTCCTCCGTAAAACACGTCGATTTTAACTTCTGGCATATATTTTGCGAATCGAGTATACTCGTTTCGAATCTGAAATGCCAGTTCCCGAGTGTGACATAATACAATCACCGATACTTCACCGGGAGCAGGTTCGACTTGTTGTAACGTTGCAAGTACAAAAACGGCTGTCTTTCCCATGCCTGATTTTGCTTGACATAGGACATCTGTTCCCAACAGCGACTGAGGGATACATTCTTGTTGGACTGCGAAAAGGTAAACAAGAATTGTAATTAGAAATAAGAATGAAAAGTCGCTATATCAGGATTGATACTACGATGAAGAGGGATGGACCAAGATAAAATATCATATTGGGAAAGAAGGGGTGAGCGTAGCCTAATTCAAATACATTGTATGTTTATTGTCTCGCCATGCTCGTATAGACATGCTGATGGAGCCGCGTGTAAATAAACTATGCCCACAAAGATAACCGCAAGATTTTTACCTTCGGAAGGATGCTCGAAACCGCAGTCTACTAT